ACTTTTTAAAGTATGAATTTTCTTGACCGATTTTTATAGGTAAGTACAAAGATAAATTTCAGTCCAATTTTTCTCCAAGTTTTATTCTGAATTCGAGGAAATAAATTGTCGGTAAGTTAGTTTTCTTCTTCAGTTAGTCTCTACCTAGATTGTTATCCATCTAAAACAAGGAGAAAACTATTAAATGGCCCCCAAAATAGGCGTGAATGCATCACGTGTGATCGACAATTGGTAAGACTTAGATTTAAGTTTTTCTTAACTCCTAGATTCCATGCCACACATATACTAATAGCTACTTATCTCCTAGAATGTGCCAAGCACTTCCCTTTCTATTTATTCAGCATTTCTTTACTGCCAGGCATCATGGTGGGTGCTGGGGGATATAAAGATGAGTAAGACGACACCATCTCCATTATACCAACATTATGAAGTAGGTAAAATCTTTCCCACTTTACATTTGAGGAACTGGAGGCTCCTATGGTCTAGCATCTTGGCTAAGATCAGACAGAGCTTGGGGAAATTGAGGTCTTACTCCACTTTTCTACTACTCCATAGTATACCCTGTACTATCAATAGTTCCCTTTTTAAAAAGTAATATCCACCTGTAGTTTGTTTTTTACCTTAGATTTTCAAATATTGGGTTTTCAGAGGAATGGCACAATACAAAGAAATAAACAAACAAAAAGTTGTAAAACCTCTACTATTTAGTAGGAGTTGATAGTTGAATTGGAGGCACTTTACCAAATAATGCAAAGAAATGAACAATATTTTTATACAAAAATAGTAAATCCTAAGCAAGCTTTAAGTATCTGAGGCTTACTAAAAAAAACTGACAAAGTTCCTTTGGCCTGCCAAAAGTTAGAGGATTTTATTCCTAAGCAGTTTGTTTCCTAGACATGATTCTAATTACAAACAGAAGTTCCTTGCAGTCCTATGTAAAATTCTCGAGGAGATAGAAACAATAAGATTAAAAGATTCAAAGAATCAATAATTGCGTTGATTCTCTATTTAAACAAAACTAAACAGAAGGAAAAGGAAAAATATGTTCTGGCTGAGCAAACTTGGGAGAAATAATAGAACTTCAAAAACAATTTTTGCTATCCCATTTCAAACATTCTTTCAGTAAAACAAAATTAACTCTTTAAAATTAACTTGATTCTAAAATTTAAATTCCTGGGGCGCCTGGGTGGTTCAGTCGTTAAGCATCTGCCTTTGGCTCAGGTCATGGTCCCAGGGTCCTGGGATCGAGCCCCACATCCGGCTCCCTGGTCCGCGGGAAACCTGCTTTTCCCTCTCCCACTCCCCCTGCTTGTGTTCCCTCTCTCTCTCTGTGTCTCTCTCTGTCAAATAAATAAATAAAATATTTAAAAATAAAAAATAAATAAAAAATAAAATTTAAATTCCTTTCTTTGTTAGCTAACATAACTATACGCATTTTTTCATCTAGGAAAAAATAAATTTTTTTTTAAGATTTTATTTATTTATTTGTCAGAGACCAGAGCAAGCACAAGCAGGGGGAGGGGCAGGCAGAGGCAGAGGGAGAAGCAGGCTCCCTGCTGAGCAAGGAGCCTGAAGCAAACTCAATCCCAGGACCCTGGGATCCTGAGCCAAAGGAAGATGCTTAACCGACTGAGCCACCCACCCATCCCTAAGAAAAAATAATTTATGTTAAAGCACAAAAATGCTACAAAGGAAGAGAACAACTTCAGTGTATATAATCTTATAGGAAACTATTATAAATAGAACATAATAGCCTGTCATAGTTAATTTTTGTTACCAAGGTTCTCAGTACTTTTACCAAGATTAATCCCTAAATGTTGAAGAGCTAGATATGATATAAATCCAGAAGCTTAACCTTCCTTTATAACTTTAAAAAATCTGAAGATTAAAGATGAACTATTCAAAATATATGAAAATCTTTTTTTAAAAAAGGCGGGGGTGGCGCCTGGGTGGCTCAGTCCTTTAAGCACCTGCCTTCAGCTCAGGTTATGATCTGTGTCCTGGGATCGAGTCCCACATTGGGTTCCCTGCTCAGCAGGGAGTCTGCTTCTCCCTCTCCCTCTGACTCCCCTGCCCACTTGTGCTCTCTGCCTCAAATAAATAAAACCTTTAAAAATAAAATAAAATATATGTACATTTCTATAAAGGGGATTTTTATAATTGTTGTTTTTTAAAGACAGGCCAGTGAATACTTTGGCTCTCAAAAAATGCTTGTTGAGGGGGTACCTGAATGGCTCAGTCAGTTGAGTGATCGACTCCTGGTATCAGCTCAGGTCATGATCTCATGGGTCTGGGTTGTGGAATCGAGCCCAGCATGGGGAGTCTGCTTGAGATTCTCTCTGCCCCTCCCTTCTCTCTTTCTCTCTCTCTCTCTGAAATAAACAAACAAATCTTTTAAAAAAGATGTTTGTTGAGCCAGAAGTAATAGAAGCATACTGCTTACCTGTAAGAATGAGAAAAAAAAAAACACTAAAAATAGTATATGTACTTTTGGGTATAGAATAGATTTTTAGGAAATAGCAAGTAATGTTTTAGCTAAAACATAAACATCTTTAATTAATTCAAATATTCCAAATTCAATTATTGAGTTCCTACCAAGTACTGAGCACCTCCTCAAGACATTGAGTGTAACAGATCAGAAAATGGTCCCTTTCCTTATAGCAGCAATGTCCACAATAGCCAAAATATGGAAATAGCCCAGATGTCCATAGACAGATGAATGGATAAAGATGTGGTGTATACAGACACACACACACACACACACAATGGATTACTACTCAGCCATCAAAAAGAATGAAATCTTGCCATTTGCAACAACATGGATGGAACTAGAGGGTATCATGCTAAGCAAAATAAGTCAGAGAAAGACAAATATCCTATGATTTCACTCATGCGGAATTTAAGAAATAAAACAGATGAACATAGGGGCAGGGGAGAAAAAATAAAAAACAGAGGCAAGACATAAGACACTCTTAACTGTAGGGAACAAACTGAGGGTTGCTGGAGGGGAGGTGGGTGGGAGGATGGGGTAACTGCATGATGGGCATTAAGGAGGACTCATTATATCTAATGAGTACTGGGTGTTATATGAAACTGATGAATCACTAAACTCTACCCCTGAAACTAATAATACACTGTATGTTAACCAAATTAAATGTAAATAAAAAATTTAAAAAAAGAAAAAAGAAAATGGTCCCTTTCCTCTTAAAGCTAACAGGGTACTGGATATATCCTCCAAAACTATCCTTTCTTTTGTGTGATTCCATGCTCATCAAGGACCTTTTTGAAATATAAATTCACCCTCACCAAAAGCTTAATACTCATAAAACAAAATACTACATTGCTGAGATCAGCTTTCTGGTTAAAGTATCAACATACCCCTATGGAATTCGTAATTAATTAGTTAGCTTGTGTGAAACCCCTAAGCTTTGATCAATTCTGATTAACTGGTTAGGTGTAATTTCTCAAACTTCAGAGCTGAGAATCAAATACAGGAGTGCAGTTATGTCCATACGAAGATGGTAACTGCCAAAGGAGTTGCTAGTTTACCCTCAGGCAACATGGTGTCATTTCATCATGTCCTACCAACTGCAATATAATCAACTCATAAAACTGTTAAGAATAGGGGCGCCTGGGTGGCTCAGTCGTTACGCATCTGCCTTCAGCTCAGGTCATGATCCCAGGGTGCTGGGATCAAGCCCCACATCGGGCTCCCTGCTCAGTGGGAAGCCTGCTTCTCCCTCTCCCACTCCCCCTGCTTGTGTTCCCTCTCTCTCGCTGTCTCTGTCAAATAAATTAATAAAATCTTAAAAAAAACTGTTAATAAAACATGCCATATAACACAGCTTCTCAAACTTTAATATGCATCTGGATCACCTACAGATCTGCTAAAATGCAGACTGATTCAGCAGGTCAGGGGCAGGGACTGAGATTCTTCATTTCTGATAAGCTCCCAGGGATGCTCAGGCTGCTGTCCACAGACCAGAAGGGGATATAACACACCTGGAAACAGGTCTGGCCAACAGGCTGCCCAGCCCAGTTAACTGTTCTCTCCTCTCCATGGATGTCTTACCTCCTTTACTGATCTCACCTTTCTTGAAAGAAGATAGCTCTTTTCACCTTTGCATCCTTCAAAATTCTCACCTAATCAGAACACCTTCCATAGGCATTAAATATATGCCAACGGAATGAATGACATCCAGCTTTTGTCATTACTTCTATACTTAGGAACAAAACTGTTTCTTCCTCTGAATTCTAAGTAGAAAAGTATTTTTGAAAACTGAAAAATCAGAAAAGCTATTTTTCAAGTAAAGAAAAATTGTATTTGCAACATGATCCAGTGCATTCTCATGCTGACCTAATCTTAAAAATATATATATCCATAATTAACGTTAACTTATCTGCTAATGATTTCTTTTTTTTTTTTGTAAATAATAACAACTAAATCATCTGGTTTTCTGGGGGAGTTTTAAAATTTGTCTTAAAGCGGCACCTGGCTGGCTCAGTTCGAAGAGCATATGACTCTTGATCTCCCGTCCGAGAGGTTCAGTCCCACACTGGGTGTAGAGACTACTAAAAAAAAAATAAATAAACTCAAAAAACTAAAAATAAAACCCTTTAAAAGTAGACTTTAAAAAGAAGTAATCACTTCCTTCAGGTGTACTTTTTAAGACCGCACAATAAAAAAATTAGGCCATCTTAGTAAAGGTAACATCTAGAACACACTTCCGACTCTTCAGACTAACAGTCCTATAAATAAATCAAATAGTATTACTCTTAACCACAGGTAGATCTTTGGCACAGTTTCCACTGTTTCTCCGCCGATTTTGTGTGATTTTTGCCAAACAAGTGACTGACTCCCTCGGGGCTGGTGTCTGCACTTGTAAGTGTTAAGTCGATTACACTTGGCTGCAGGCTGAGAAAAGTCCCACGTGACGGTGTTTGCAGCACCCCAGAGAGGAAACAGGAACGGAGTATATTTTCATTTCTAAGATGTTTACCTCGACGGTTTGACCGGTTTTTTACACGAATGTGCCAGTGAGCACACATACACAGAGTGTTACTTTTGAGCGACCGAGGAAGGGGCCCGAGGCTCGGGTTGGCACTGGCACAACGTCCAGGGTCGCCGCTCAACTTGGATGGCCAGGGCTCCGCCGGCGCGCCCGCAGCCCAGCCGCCGCCTCCGGGCTGCTCTCCGGCCCTCCTCACGCGGCCGAGCGCGGGTGCTCCGACCAGCCCCCCAACTGGCGCGCGTTTCCGAGGCTGCAGGCGCGGAGGGGGCGCCCGCGAGCCGGAGACCGTCCCCCCACGTCTCCTCACGTCCCCACCGAACAGGCAAAATGGAGGCGGCGGGCGCGTTCCCGCCGGGCGGGGCTTCGGCGCGGCCCGAGGGTCCGCCGGACGCGGGCGGCCAGAGCCGGTCCCTCCCCCGGGCCGCCCCGGGTGCCCGCAGCCCGGCAGCCGCCGGCGTGGCGCCTGCGGCACAGAGGCCGGGGCGAAGCCGTGGAGGTGGGGTGCCGGCGGCCGCGAACAGGGACGCCATTATCGGCCTCGCCCGGTGGAGCCGCGGCTCGCAGCTCCCGAGGAGGGGGGCGGTGGGGGAGGGGAAGGAGGGTGGGGACAAGAGGAGGGAGGGGGCGGGGCTCAGGCGTGGGCTGGGAGGCTGCGGGCGCCGGGGAGGGCGGCCTCCGCTGCAGGGCGCGTCAGTGGCCCCCTGCCCTGTGGGCCCTCTCCCCGCGGGGCAGACTTCACTGGAGGGCGGCCCACCCCGCCCGGCGCGCCAATGCGGGCCCGGGTCGCGGCGGGCGGCTCTTACCTGTGCCTTCCCTTTCTTTATCGTCCGCCATCTTGTTGCGGAGCCGTCGCCCGGGAGATGCCTGGCGTCACCCTAGGACGCGGCGTCCTTGCCCCTCCAGCCCCCGCGCGAGTCTGGCCTGGGGCACCGGCGGCTCCGAACCCCCAGGGCGGGGGGCTGGGGAGCGGGGGAAGGCTCCGAGCGCGCGCCCGCCCCTCCCCCCAGACGTGTCCCCGTCCCCTCCCCCTCCCGGCCCACTCCGGCCTTGGGGGACTTGGGGGACGAGGGAGTGGCAGAGCCCCAGGCCCTGCCTTCCCTCCTGACCCGCGTGGGGACTCGCAGGCCCGGCGCCCTCCCCGCCCGTGGCTACGACGTGGCGCCGCGCGGTTTTTTCACTACGGACTTGAAAACGCGGCCGGAGAGCCAGGGTCGGACCTCGCGGCTGCCCCGGAGGCCGGGACGCCGGGCGGGCGCGGGGGGCACCCCAGCCGGCACCCCCGGGGCGGGCGGCGGCGGCGCGAGCTCGGGGCCGCCGAGCAAACACGGCGTCGTCAAGGCGGCAGTTGCTGACACAAACTGGAAGGTTCTCATGGCAACGGAGACGTGCCCGCCCGGCCGCCTCGACACCGACGTTAAATGTCCTAGCTCGTGAGGTTTGACGTGACCTCCAGCTAAGGTTACTACGGAGAAGTTGTACCTCCCGCGTTTCTGCAACTTGGCAGCTGTCGCAGGATGTTAGATTTTTGTCTCGGCTTAAGGATAAGCTCGTTCTACTAGAACGTTTTCTTTCTGAAATGATTTTTTGAATTTTGTGGTTCAAACGAATATAAGATTTTAAAGCTAATCTTGGATGATTTTTAAGTGCATTCGCGTGCTAGCTTAAAGGACGTTATGTGAAAATGTATGAACTGTTAACTAAATGTTGAAGCCTTCAGAGTACAAGGTACTAGTATGTGCTGATTTTCTTAACATACTTGTCATGCTCCTTTTATTCTGTTCCTGTAATCGCTCAGTAAGCCCGAAAGCAAACTTTTTAATTAAAATAACTATTTTTTCTATAGAATATACTCATTTGGTGCTATTACCCGCATTCTCTTTGAAATTGATGCGAAACTATTGAATCATCGCAAAATGGCTTCTGTTAGAGGATAGGTACTTACATAAAATGAATACGGTTGTTTACAGTAAATTCTGTACTTCCCAGAATACGGGAGAGTAATCATTAGCGTTCACATAATATTTAAATTTCGTAGTCATTATAGTCTAGTAGTTTGTTTTTAAAGACGCCCTCTTTGCATACAGATAATGAAGGGCTTTGAAATAAACGTAGGAAAACCTCAGCTTTGGGCTCAGGTTGACTTCTCACTCACTGTGCCTTGAGGCTGTTTGCAGTTTCCTTTTTCTGGAATGCCTCCCCCCCCCCCCCCCCCCTCCCCGCCCCAACATTCACCCTCCCACAGACACGCGTCTGCTCCCTCCCAGTTGTCAGTGACCTCCTTGAAGGTCACCTACTCCTTGAAACTTAAGCTTTCCGGATCAACCTCCTCCTCTGTGGTCCAGAACTCATATTCTAGAGCCTCTTCCATTGATTTGCAATGACTTTGTATATTTGTATTGTAAGCTCTTGAGGACAGGAAACACTTTGTCCCCATATCCCCAGTGCCTACAACAATTTTTCAGTTCTTGTGTCTGAAATAATATATGTTTTAAAAATTAAACTGGAGTTAGTCTTGTCACTGACTTGAATTGATTATTTAAATTATTCCAAACCATATTAATCTCTACTTCTCTGAATTCCTACAGCAGGTTTAAGACAATACTGTTTCTCTAAATTGGGATGAGTAAAACAGTGTATATTAATTAACCCCTCCCCTCCAGTTAGGTTTGAAGACAGAAGCCTGATCATATAAATCTTTTACGTGTATCCACAGTACCTCGCCTAATTTGGGACACGTATTAGGAGATTAATACATATTTTTCAATTAATTAGCTGATACACATAAAAGTGTATCATTATTCTGGAAAACTCCACAAAGTGAAAAAAAAGTGGGTATCCAAATGACAAAATAGAGGCCTACAATGCCAATGAGTAATTATCTGTGTTATGCTACCTGACTTGACTTTCCACTTTTCTTTGGTTGTGGAAAACTGACTTCTAATTATGTTACAATTTTAATTCTTTTAAAATATTAGCTTGTTTTGGACAACAGCAGACTAACCACAACCATTTTTTCCCTTTAGGATATATTTGTTTTTTAACTATGGCTTTGAGTAACTATGTAATACTGTATGCCACTCAAGCGGTCTTTCACTTATTCTCAGAGTCATTTTTCATGAGTTTTTCTGAAATTCCAAACTGGAAAATTATTTTTGGTCCCACTCAGACATTATACAATCTTAGGGCTAAATCAAACTACTAGCCTATTAAAAAAAAAAAAAAAAAACCAAGGGGAAAGTTTTAGACAATGACATGCTTGATTATTGATAGTGGGGCCAGATGGATATGTACAGGTTATGTCCTTTTGCGTGTTTGAATTTATAGTGAGTTAAATCTGTTCACACAGGCGCCGGTTCCATGCCGGTGAGGGGACACAGATATTTCTTCTGAATACAATTGACTCAGTTACCTAAGATGTGGCTGAAATGGAAAGGATAAGTGGTGTGAGTAAGGCAAAATAAGTCAAAAAAATCTTTATACCACATCTACTTTCCTATTCTGGGGATAATTGAAACCTTGGATTAGGAATAATTAAAAAAAACAAAAACTCGATTTTCCTTGGGCATTGCCATGGACTGACATGATCCTAGGCAAGTCATTTATTTCATCTCTTTAAAACTCCATTAACTTGTGGCACCTGGGTGGTTCAGTCAGTTAAGCGGCTGACTCTTACTTTTGGCTCAGGTCATGAGCTTAGCGTCTTGGGATCGAGCCCCCAGTGGGGCTCTGTGCTCAGTGCGAGTCTGCTTGTTCCTCTCTCTGATCTCTCTCTCTCACAAATAAATAAAATCCTTTTAAAAAATAAAAAGTAAAATAAATAAAACGGTTAACTCAGGGGGCGCCTGGGTGGCTCAGTCAGTTAAGTGGTCTGCCTTTGGCCCAGGTCAGGATCTCAGGGTCCTGGGCTCCCTGCTTAGCAGGGAGTCTGCGTCTCCCTTTCCCTCGGCCCTCCCCCCTCACTGCTGGTCTCTCTCTCTCTTTCTGTCAAGTAAATAAAATCTTTAAAAACAAAACAAAAACTCTGTTAACTCAGAAAAATAGAAATGGCAATGTCCAAACTCCCTGGGAGTTTGGAGCACTTGTAAGGAAATCCACATTCTTTGAGATAAACCCCCACTTCCATGTAGGAAGGAGCCCTCAGAAGTCGAACTCCAACTTCTTTCCTGAGATTCAGCTTCTCCTGGGAGAGTTTGCTTTTCCAGTGCTTTCCTACACAACAGGAGGTGGTCTGATTCCAGGCCTCACACCCTTCACTACGAGAATCTGCTCCCTGCGTGACATATGTAGTCTACATGATAGAGGTTGGCATCTTCAGTGTGCTGCCCCTTCCTGGTTTCCACCTTCCCATTTTTAAACCTCAAGCAGGAGTGGCTTTAAGCATATCTCGACTCCTTGAGCTCTAGACCCAGGAAATGATAGAAAGGCAGTTGCTTCCCTGGTTTGTCTAATTCCAGTTTCCTAAAGAAAGTTACAACACCTCCCTAGATGATTAACATCAAGAAGGTCCAGCCCTGGGGCGCCTGGCTGGCTCAGTTGGTAGAGCATGCAACTCTTGATCTTGAGGTGGTGAGTTTGAGCCCCGCACTGGCTGTAGAGATTACTTAATAAAATCATAAAAAAAAAAAAAAGTCCAGCCCTTCAAGATACTATCCCTACCTATAGGTGAGTAGCCTTACCCTGGGATCTCAAAACGAAAACCTCATCAGAATACAACAGAATAACGGTTTGGTTTCATTACAGTCATAGCAATAAAAATAACTCTTCTAATTACTTTGTATACATTATCTCTTAATCCTTATGAGGCTGGGCGCCTGGGTGGCTCAGATGGTTAAGCGTCTGCCTTCGGCTCAGGTCATGATCCCAGAGTCCTGGGATCGGGTCCTGCATCGGGCTCCCTGCTCCTTGGGAGCCTGCTTCTCCCTCTGCCTCTCTCTCTCTCTCTCTGTCTCTCATGAATAAATAAATAAAATCTTTAAAAGAAAAATCCTTATGAGGCTGTTACTGGTATCCCTGTTTTACAGATGAAAAAGCTACATCTTTCCTGGTATCCCTGTTTTACAGATGAAAAAGCTACATCTTTCCATTAATGGCCTGCTGAAAGGTCTCAGTCAACAAGAGAGCTGCCTAGGAATCTAGTTCTGATTCCAGAGCCCCTGTGCTATACCGCTTCTTAATATATCAGTGTTATATCCTGTTTAGTAACCTGAATATTTAGAGAAGGGCAACAGTCCTGGGCAGAATTAGTCACCTTCTTCCCCACTTTTTTTTTTAGCACTGCAAAACATCAACCAAAGCAATGGACAGACTCTTAGGGACACTTGAGGGAACCAGATAATGCCATACACATTGTCCCCATCTGGACAAAGACTTGAGGTCCTAGCTTTCCGATGGCAGAAGAGGAGGCAAAACTCACTCTTTCTGAGAATGACCCCCATGACCCAGTGGTCTGCTCATCTTCTCGTCCCTCCCCACTTCCCTGCAGACTGAGATTTCAGGCCTCTGGAGAAGGAGGGAGAATTGTGTTACATTCTTGGCCCCGGACAAGAGCATTTTCAGAGCCAGAGATCCTCTGGGCTTTTCAGGGAGACCCAGAGCAGGAAGCCAGGACTGCAGCACTTGTGGGCATCTTGAAAATAATTTGTTACGTGAAACCACAGCTCTTACAGCATTTAGAAAAATCACACTCCTGGACCTATGTTTCTCAAAAGCACATGTTTCTTTCTGTTTCATTTCAAAACACACATTGACACGGCAAGTCACTGTTTAATTCATTACTTAAACATTTCCTGTCCTAAGCGGCACTTTTCAGGGACCCTTAGCGCTAAGCAAATTTTGGTGAGTCTCTGTTTTCTTCTTCATTGAAAAATAAGACCGGAGAGTTGAAGGGTGGTGGAGCTGACCCAGAGAGTCAGTAAATGTTTATGACTGCTCACATAAACTCTTACCCCCGAAAAGTGTGAAACATAGAGAAATAGCGTAGAATGATGCCGGTAATTGACTTGGGAATGATTTTTTAGTTCCAGCTCCAAAAAATAAATCTTGGAAAATTAAGTTTCACTGATGTCAACATTTACATAAGGAGATAATGCAGTGTAGAAGAATCAAGCTAATAGATTAAACAGACCCAGGATTGAATTGAACTACCCATTAGCTATTTGACTTTGGACATGTTATTTCTCCTCTGGAAACTGTTTCCCCACCTGCGGTTATGTGGAGGTTAGAGGGACATATGGAGACGATTGAACAGTTGGGACATGAAGCCACCTCTACAGCTCCCTTAACTTCTGGCCTGATTTTATTTCTTTGGACTATGGCCAGCTGAGTCTTCAATGGCTCCTGGGCCAGTAGAGATACTATTTGGTGCACTTACAGTGTTCTAGGAACTTCGCTGCGCAGTTTACGCGGACCATCCAGCTTACTCATCACAATACCCCTGTAAGAAGGTGACTAGTATGATACCCATATTAAAGATGAGGAAACCCAGAGTGAAGATCCCCAAATTGCTTCTCTAAAAGGAAAAGTCACTTTTCTACTGTTGTGCCCCAAAGTCTCTCCTGATTTTCCTGGATTTTTCATTTCCTCCCTCTGCCAGGTCCCAGGGACTGGCCTGCTTTCCCTGCTCTTGAAGGAGGCGTTGTCTGCCAATGAGGCGAGGGGAAGGGGGCTGTAGCATTCCTATCTCTCTGGCACCACCATCCTTGCTACCCTTAAATACAATCGTGGAA